CTCCTTTGTGCCACTAGAGGTTGTGAAGACACACAGTTACAGCAGCTTCAAAAAATGATTAGACAAATTCAGGGAAAAACACAGATACTAAAGAAACATATAGATTGGGTTATCTTGGGTGTAAGTGAAATGGACTGCAGAAAGCTGCCAGAACTCTGTGCTCCCCATAAACAGCATCTCTTACTGCCACAGGTGGGAACAGAGTAGTGGGCTACATGTATCACTGGTCCAGTTTGAGAAGATTCTTCTTATGTTCTAATTTTGCATAAAAAAGGGTATATAAAAAGATTTCATCATATATATCAGCTTACACTAACAAAGAGTTAGAAGGAGCTACTGCCATTATACCAGCTTAGAAGCCAGTTAATTGTGATGTACAAGAATTACACTAACAGTTGATAAAATTATTTTATTGGATTTAAACATCTCCCTAAGATATAATAACAGAATTCAGGTATTTATGTGTAATATTTTGTCGGTGTGGGGTTTTTTTTATTTTTTAATTATGATGAAAAACATCTAGATCTAGCCCATGTGTTAAGATTTAAACTTCTATGGAAAATGCTTGTAAGTGAATATCAGACACTAGATTTCCCAACTGTATGGCATCCAAAAGCAAACAGGAGTAATTATAGATGAACTGGTAATAGCTTACCCATGGCCATTGCATTAGTGAAAGCAATATAACAGGTATCTGTAAGGGAGTTCTACTGAGCACTCATGCCAGTCTTGGTTAAAAAGGAATGTTCAGGCATTCCCAAAAATGGCCTTTATGGGGGGACAAAAAGTTGCCTTTTAATTTCAGTTTCCATTATTCCAGCCCCTTGCAAAAACAATGGCTAAACGGCTTGAGCACTGTCAGATGCTTGACTCAGAAAGTACAAAGAGAGATTTCAAAAGAGTGCATTTTCTCACTCTGCAGAAGATCAAAAAGATTTCCACTCACTTCCACTTTCTATAAAGCCTTCTAGGTTGGTTATGAAGTGAGGTTGATTATGAACTTCAGTAGGTCAAACAGTTGGCCATTGTACTGAAAGGAGTTATCATTTCCTATGTAAGTGCATTAATGTTTAACAAATTTTAAAGGCACATATATTGTTCCCTGACCAATACAGAGTCTGCAAAGGACTATAAATATCAAGATTTTAGGAGTTGCAATAAAAATCTAGAGGAAAAAGAAAGAAAACAGATGTTTTTAATTTGGGTTTTTTTTGTTCCTTTAATCCAGTGTTTCTGTTTCATTCAAAACAGAATTTCAATACTGTATCAGTGTTTCCCTTTACTCTTTTCCCTCTTACTCAGGCATCTGGGTACTCCTTACACTATGTTCTCCACATGTAGCATAGGGAAAGGGTGAGTCTGTTGTCTTAGGAGAACAATTTAGGAGAAGTTGTCTTAGAAGAAAATGAGAAGATGTATCTGTCTCATCTTAGGGAGAAGATGAGTCTGTTGTCTTTCCTCTCCCTTTTTCACTCTGTGTCTTCCATTGAGGCTTCTACCATGCTTTCTTTACATGTGGATTTGAACACTCCTTCAGGAGCTTCAATTCTCACTGCAATGTCACTGAGCTTTTTGCCAGCAGTGAGAAGGGGAAATGCAGAGGGTGATTCCCAAGCTTGGCTCCTGCAGCCTTAGCTCCAACCACCTGCCTAATTGCAAGGTATGGTTAGATAGATTGGGTATTTGTAACCAGCTAACAGTAAATACAATGGAAAATAACTAAGCTGCAGTGAAAAAGAACAAAGGCTAGAGTGTCATTAGAGACTAGGAACAAAAAACCAACTTAGGGAGGAAATTCCCTTTACTCTTTCTACTTTGAAGGTGCGAACTCAAAAGCAAGACAGGAGGTGGGAACATGTGTGGCCCAAGAAATATTTGTTCAGAGACTCTTCTCCAAGCAACAGCTCAGCATTTGCTGTGAATTGCAAACATGGTTATCAGGAATGTCCTGATTCTCTAACATTTGAATAGGACCAGTTTTCCTCCTGGGAATGTTTGCAGGTGTTCTCAGAACACTGGGAGCAGCTTAGACGAGAAGCAGGAGGTTGCGGGCTAGCTGTTGCCTTTGCCTACCTGCAGAAGCTCCCAGACCACTACAGTGGGCAGATGTCACTTCTGCTGTTTTATTTTTCTGTCCCTACTGGATTTCAGCTGTGTCTGAGCCCAGGGAAAGTTGCAGGGCTGAACCCAGCCAAAATAGGATGGAGGAAAAACTAAAACCACATATCTTTGTCCAGTAGGCCTTCTAAGTGCGTGCATTGATTTCTGCTAAGTTGCCTTTTGTCCCTAGAAACTGCCCGTGTGAAGCACAATTCAACTTTCCTGTGTCTTCATGCCTGCACTTATCAGTCCTGAAACAAAAGCAATGTAGACAGAAGCACAGGGCTTCCAGCTGTCCGACGCCTGAAGACCTGACACAAATCACCAAAACCTGGCTGAATCCTCACACATCTCAACAGTGCCTCTCTGCCTCTAGCAGAGAGCCCCAGGAGATATCAGTGGGCATATTTTGCAAAAACCCCTTTCTAAAAAACAGAAGTAATTGGATTAAGACAACTAATAAGCATCTTTACTCAAATGCTCTGTCTTAAGACTGCAACTGAATAAATGACAGCAAATGAAGGAGAAACACACTTAAATAAAGAGTAGGCATTTCTTCAGACCTTTACTCCTTTCATAGTTTGCAACTGTATTTACCACTTCAATGAATTCTCTTCACTCAACAGCTGCTGATGTGCATTCAGTAGCAGGAATCCAAAGAAAGTGCTTTTATTTGCCTGGTTTTGAGAGACCTGTCATGAACAGACTGAATTTCCAGGGGATGGTAGGGCTGACAGCAGGCTGCAGACCTTGGCAGCGCTGATCCCAACTGAGTTCCAGGTGTCCTGCAAGTGACAGCTCTGAAGCATCCAAGATGGAAAGTCACTGTAGCAGCAGGCTCTGACAGACTGCTTCAGTCACTCTTACAAGTGCAAACATGCAACATGTCTATTGTGCATGTAATGAGTCACCTCGAACAGAAAACGTGTGTCGTGCCAGATTATACAGAGGTTTTGTGAAAATAAATATTCCCACTGAGGATTAGCATGAGACCAAAAGCTATGCCAAATTTGACTAGACTCTAAAGGCCAATCTTGTTCCTTAAACCAGATGTTTAACAGAGGTTGTGACATCTGAAGAGATCAGCAGACAGAAAATACAGGCAGTGTATGCTAAGTCAGAATGAGATGTATCACTGTAGGGAGGTAAAATACAATTTTTCAAGTGTTACAGAATTCTGTAAATCCCTTTTCCCAATACTTCTTCACATCTTGCACAATTAACTACAAGCAGCAAAATATAATTTATGTTCTGTATTATACTCCTTTTCTATTTTTGAGTATCTGTTTAAAGGGAGGCCAGTGGAGTTACTTACTTTCCTGAGATAAATCCAAGAGTGAGAGTGGCGAGCAAGTACATAAAATCTGCCCTCACCTCTCAGTCTAGATGGTAAGTAACTCACAGGGAGCTTCTCGTCAGTGGCACCTGACTGGTTCTCTACTCTGGCAATTTTACATTTTCAACTTTTCTAACCTATGCAGTTACTTCCGTTTAACTACCTCTTTTTTCTTGCAGACTTGGCAACTTGAAATTGAAGGTTACATGAAAAATATTTCAGTCACAAAAGTTGGTAGTTTTGCAACAGATATTTTCATGAACTCTAGTGAGCATCTTACAGCATCAGGTTTTGACTTTGAGTCAAAATTGGGAAGTAGTAGGAGGCACTCGCCAAACTTCATGTGCTGGATGATGAAGGTAAGGCAGTAACAGCTGGAGGGAGTCCCATGGGAAGCTGCATCTTGGGGTAGAGCTTGTTTGTCCTCACCTTCATCATTTTGCCATTGGGTTATTGTAATGGAAAGCAGATCATGAGCAGCTCATGGTCAGGGGATGGGAGTATAACCATTACAGTCCTCATGGTATGATAACCTCAGGATCATCTGACTTGCATAGAGACACCAGGACTTCTGCTGTAAACAAGAGTGTTCCTTTCCTCCCACCTACACTGTGACTTTCCTACCACCTCTCTCTCCACTCAGACGTGGAGTCAAGCTTGAGGAATGCAATGGGAATGAGGACTGATGGCCTGCTGCACGGAGGGAAGGCAGAGAACTAAAAAATCTTATGAGGTTTATGATAGCAGAACAACAAGCACATGACCTGCTGCCACATCTCTTGCCTGACCTATTCTTAGAGATGGGTGGATGGAAAAGGCTGAGTCATTGTCTCAGCTGCAGAAGACCAAGCTGTACAGAAGGAGCCTGCCAGCCAGGGCTCCCAGCCATACAGCATAGGAACTGCCCTATTTCTCAGAGCTCTTCATGGCAGGTGGCTAATCCCCTCCACCCCATCTCCTTTCCTCTGCTTCATTCCTCACTAGTCCTCAAAACAAAGAACAGACTATCAGCCACAATGTAATGCTCAAAGTCCTAAGCAGTTCCCTTCCAGCAGGGATTTCAGGTGTTGCATGCTTTCCTTCTTGCTTTAGTTTCTTCTTGCTTTAGTGGAAATCACACAGAATCACAGAATTGTTGAATCATTTATGTTGGAAAAGCCCTCGAAGATCATCAAATATATGTATCCCATGCATGTATGGGGTATCTTGTCAACAGATAACATTTCATCAGAAAGACTTCAAGAATATTATTGACTTATTTTGTCCATATTCATTTAGCATATCCATTTAGTGCAGAATTCAATGACGCTATAGAACATAGCATCTCTAAAATTCTGATCTGATCAGCTTGTCATGGCCATCAGGTCCCTGGGCTACATTTCATAACAAAGTATTTCCTCAAATCCACAAGCTTTTGAGAAAGTAAAATGAAACAGCAGGAACATTTTCCTGAGAAAGAATAATTGTTTTAATAATCTTAGCAGTCTGATGGAAGTCCACCTACAGCAAACAGCATTAAACTGGTACCATCAAGAATGTTTTAAAGGAAAAAAATGTTACTTACACGGCTTCCTTTTTCAGGGAAACACTGACATCCTCCACTGCAGTCTCTGCCTCCACATGGTCCTGTGTAACTCTTCTTTCCACCCTGCAAACCAGAACACACATAAAACGAAAGTTAAAACATATCAGCTAGAATACCTGGCACAGCACAATAAGCTTTGATTAGCAGACTCTCTGGGAACTGCTCAAGCAAAGACCAGGATCGGATCTAGGACTTGCAGTTGAAACCTCTTTAATCTATGCTTAGGAGCAGGCATGAGCGGCTTTCCAGTTCTTGGAGATCAGTGTCAAGAAATATAAGGCTACTTCACTCATTTCCTCCACATTTTCAAAACACTACAGCTCCACGCTAAGCAGTGTCTCACACATCTTTTTGACACATGCAACAGATATGTCATGGAAGTGCAGTTGTTTGGATTCTTTAGGGACACAGACTAAGTCCCAGGTCACAATGCAGTACACCCTTCTATGCATGCTCTAAGTCATTGCTGTATTTTGAAATATTTATGGGTGGACATAAAGAAAGATGTAGATATCATGTTCAAAATCATAAGCCAAACTCCTGCCTTCTCCTCTTCAATGGCTGCCTGTTCTGGAGGCACATAAAACTTTCTAGCAACCAACCACTGTGATTTAGAAATCAGACCTAGCTTAAGTAGAGGGTTCTGGTTACATCTTTTGTGCTTGTCCAGAACTACCTTGGCCTGGGCGGCAAATAAATGGATCATAAAATATGCACCACTCCATGCAAATCCTTGGATGGATTTCAGCAGGAAGGCCAGCTCAGATTATACTTAGTAAGTGCCTGCATGAAACACAGCAGCTGCAGTCCTGTTCAGAAACCTGAACAGCAGAGTTGCTGTGCATGCTGTGGTATGACTTTTATAACTGTAACTTAATAATTAGGAATACTGTGAAGACCAGCCATCATCCCACCTAAACCCAGGGTTCTGAATGCTGAACGTGCCCCACAGTCTAGTAAGTAATCTGGGAAAGGACAAAAGGATTTCTTGCCACTACTTCTGAACCTGGCTTGCCCCACAGTGAATAATTAATACAGTCAGAAGAAAAAGAGAGAAATGACAGAAGTCCAGTGGCTACTGTAAGCCACAGATACTTATTCAGGGCACTTCACATGCACTGCTCCTTAGAGCAAGGCAACCCAGCCATAGGGTACAGAGTCAGGCTCTGTGTCACTTACTCCCTTCCTGGCAACCTGATTCAAATGGTTCCTTCACTCTTTCTGCCTCCTTCATAGCTTGAGCACACCATCTCATGAAAGGTAGGTGAAAGGGGTATAAACAAGCCTCCAAAACAGGATGGGTGCTCTGAACTGCTATGTTGTTGCTTAAATAGGCAGTGATGCTGCTGTTCCTGCCTCTAGCGCTGACTTAAGGAGGTGAAACAGAGAGGGACCAATGCTGCCATGCTTAGCATTTTTCTTATGGCTCTAAGCAATCCCCTACGCAACACCTGAGGTTTTTGGGTTATGTTTCTCAGGTATCCACTTCTGTCTTCACACTACCTGAAAACACAGCTTTGAGATTTGTATTCCTCCCCAGGAGCCAAATGAATAAAAGGTATGGAGCAGGCACCAAGCATTGACAAAGTCCTCCTTTGGTTATATTTGTACAGCAGGCTCTTGATCTTATGACAAGCAGTAATACAAAGTTCCTAAAACATGTTCCTATGCTTGCATGAGAATGTTCATGTCTGTATCTTAACTATTTTTATAAATAAAAATACTTTTTTTCAACATTATATTTAATTCTCATGTTTAATGAAAGAGGTAAGGTTTTCATACTGATAAAAGAGGTCCACAGAACTGAAAACATGCCCTGAGCTATTTAAAGGTTAGGTGTTTTATTCAGGAAATTATTTCATGGATGTAACAGTGTTCAATGTCATGTTATGAATTCTGCTTTATTTTTAAGCTATTGTTTAGAGGAAATAATAAACCAAGGTAGTTTTATAAACTCCAGCAGCTTGCTATAGTTGGTCCATTTTTTAATTAAATATTTGGATGGTCACAAATTCACTATCTTTGTGGGGTTTTTCTCTTATTAAGTTATTTGCAGATGAAATTTGCATCTTTTTCTCAGTATCCTTAATTTTAGAAAGTTTTCATCTCGGTTCCTTTTCAGAAATTAGGAATAGTTCTATTAATTTTTATGAATGCCATGCAGATGTACGGCCTGAGCTAACATATTCTTCTGCAGGATGGAGGTGTCCATTAAAGAGCAGTGTGCTAAGTAGTTTTGCCATTGATAACAGTCAATTTTGAACTTCCAGAGATCTTTTTTTAACTTTTAGAGATTTGTTTTTGTTGGTGCTGTAAATAACAGTATATCCCAGCCTAACAGTAACAGACAGATACAGTAATTTGATCATGTGAGTTTTCAATTTCGCCTACTCAGAAAAAAACCAAAGAGAACAATAAGTTTATTTCTCTTTTTTTAATTAGTAGAGTGACTCTAAATTTGGTAAAATGTTGCTAAGGAGAAAATAGAGCATGAATCAGAACTATGGGAAGATATTTGTGCACTCGTAAAAAAAAAAGGAGGCTGCTAATGCTTATTTCAAATGGAAGTTCAAGGTCTATTGTTTGTCTACCCACCATACAACATTTTAATCTGCATGCTGTAACAATACCAGTAGCTAATGTGGGGACACAATTGTTTTCTTCCACAATTTTAGGAAGCTTTTTTTTATTTATTATTTTCTCATTTTGTATCCTTTTATGCACACAGATTCTTCAGATAATGAAGATAAAAATCTGGAAGATTCTCCAAAGGTAGGGAACATAATGGGAACACATTTGAGACCAGCATCAATATACCTCTTCTGGATTATACTTGAGCTTTCCTTATTATATAATCTCCACTTCTTTACTTTTTGACTGCAAATGGAATGACTCTGGGAGCTTTTTGCCACAGGTGCCATTTTCTGTTATCTTCCACTATCTATGAATGCTTATCCTCTCTCTAAGGATACGATCATGGCATAATTTTTAATCTTACATTACTGGGAAGTTACAGTATCAAACATTATGACTTATAAGCTTGTTAATGTTAAAAAATAAATGTGTTCAGGATTCTTCTAAAACTTTGTCAAAAACAATTATACCCATGGGCACAAGATCAAGATGAAGGGAAACTAAATGGACATATATCAGTCAGTAATTAGACTGCAAAAAACACAGTTTAAAATTTAGTGGTGGACAATGCAATTTTAAAGTATTACAACTATTTATGTCTTGAGGAAATTAGATTTCTGGGAACATAACACCAGTGGTGACAACCCTAAGCAGTTATTTTGATTTGAGCAGGAGAAGCCTTTTTAATCAGTGTGGCAGTAAATCTGCAGTATATGAGAAAACTGGTTTAAACATGTTTCAAAATGGCTTTTTGTAGTCTCTTTGCTAACTCATGCTTTCTTCTTCCCAACACCCCCCACGACAAGTGTTATCCCATGCAAGAATGTCCTGAGAAGATATCCTGAGGTGTTCTCATTGGCCCCTTTTAACCCCTTCCTGCAACCTGTAATTGGTTACTCTGTGAATCCTCCTAAGCCTATAAATGTAACACCCCCAACAATAAACTCTCTCTTGCCTCCTCTCCACGCCGGTGTGTTGTCTCTGTGCCGGCCATGGAACCACATGGGTTGTGGAAGGAGGGGAGGGCACCTCTCCCCTCCAGGCTCAGGACCTGAAGAAACCCCTGATGCTGGAGTTCCCTTTCCCTATCCTTCAAGACGTTGGAATGGTTCCTCAGATGGAAATGGAACTAGAACTGGGCCGCCCCACACCACAGGGGGAAAGAGACCCAGAGGTCAGTGGAGAGAACAGTAAAACAGTAAAACACAATGTACCCCATCCTAATACTGGCATTTAAACCAATCGACTGCACCTCTCCCAGAAAGTACCTTCTGCTTTCTCTCAACCGTAAAGGTGGGTGGAGGTGACCAGCTTACATACAGCTATCCACCCCCTGCAAAAGTGTAAGAATGGGGAGATGAATCTCCTGATTTGTACAATATGTAGTTAAATGAAGAAAAGTGTGCTTGCTCCAGAATGATATTTTAGGATAAAGCTGTCTGATGAGAAAACTTTCAATTTCTGATCTTTCTCATGTTTTGGATGATGCCTAATTCCACTAATCTCTAAAAGGTCCAGAGTCTAGAAATAAGGTTTACGGAATCTAATTTAAGGTTTATGTAATATAGGCACAACATGTCAGACCATTCAGAGAATCTCATCAGCTCTCTTTCAGACATTTGAGCTAAATCTCATCATAGAAGGCTAAGGTGATTAGAAATGTAGCATAGGGTAACTGGTTGGCTGTCTTGTTTAGCCAACTGTAATAGCAATACTGTATTGAGAAAAAATTGCCAGGGTAATAGTGTCAGAAACACCAACTTTTGAGTGTAATAAAATTGGGACCAATGATGAAAAAGAAACTAAGAGCAGGTTGTATATTTGGGAGGAATGTAGGCAGGGAAACCAACATCCAAGGGTGGTAAAAACATGGAAAAGAAAAAAACAGAGGTCTCCTGACCAGGCATGTCCCTGAAAGGCTTGCTGTGTGAGGAAAGGTGGGGTAAGAAGGCATAAACTTGTAAGGAAGCATATGCTTACACCTGAATACCAACTGCAGGAGGAAAGGAAATAGAACTGTAACTCAATAGGCCTTTTGAGTAATTTATCAGTATTGTTTATAGTGATTTTGTACAAATACTAATACGACTAACAAGATACAGAATTGTAATTCAGTATTTCTTACAGTGATGTAGTTGTGAATTAATATGAATAACAGTGATGTGTTACTTTGCCAATTAAAGAATTATTAGGTTCTTAGAGAGAAGTGTTTTCTTTAATCAGCAAATCTTAAGTTATGTCTAAAAACTCCATTCTAAAGGGGGAGAGTTGGATTTGTGGAGTAAGACCCCTTTACAAAGCTTTCATTTCATCCTGGAGTCATGAAAATATCTTGTCCATCTCCTCCTCTTGCTGGCAGAAGTTTTGCTTCTGGTCACACATGCACATATGTGTTGACTCAGCCATGTGGATTCCAATTTCAGCTTGGT